AAATGTCATTTGGTTTGTTAATCTAACTGCCATGTCTTTAATAAAAGCATTCACAGCTCTGCATTTTCAGTATATGCCATCATCCATTTTGGAGGGGAGATATGGTAATGTCCCATTCCATCAAAAATTCTGCATTTGTGGATCAGGAGAGGTCAAATACGCTTTCCTTTATTAATTAGTTGCCATTTATATGGTCACCCCAGAAATCAGTTTCTTGATGGAATTATCAGACCTTTGTGTGACAGACACCCATTCCCCTGGCTCATTTCTGTATGTTCTTGTGAGCAGTAATGTAACCACTACTTATTAAGTAGCAAAATTTGCTGCGGCAGCAGATATGTGCCAAGCATCAAAAGTCTTAAGGAAGGAGGGAAGCTATGCATAAATAAGTGATGTCAGTGTCATATATGGTTTGTGTTGCTGTTGCTATATTGTGACAAACTATGGTTTTAAACAATAACGTTTGTTCACAAGGAAGCAAAAAATCACTGGGGTGGATGGAATATGCATAGAATTGTTTTGAGCCACAGAAATCAAATCAGTAAAAATCCTAACAAGAATATGCCAACAAAACAATAACTCACAGACTGGAAGCAGTCACATTCCAGTACCCAATATAAGAAATGCCAAGGAGTGCAGTAACTACAGGGTCATTGCTCTAGTTTCACATGCAAGCAAAGTGATGTTCAAGGTGTAGCAATGAAGGCTTTTATCTTATATGAAATGGATTCCAAAAAGGAAGAGGCATTCAAGGATAACTGGCAAAGATCTGCTGGCTACTAGAGCATACCAAAAATTTGACTGTGTAGATTATGAGAAACTATGGGTCATTCTGAAAGAAATGGGTGTACCTCAGCACTTGGTTGTTTTGATGTGTAGCTTATATTGTAGAAAAAGCAGCTACTGTTAGGACAGAATACGGAGAGAGAGAATGCTTTCCTATAGGCAAAGATGTCAGACAAGGATGTGTTTTATCTTCTTATCAGTTCAATCTGGATACAGATCATATCATATAGAAAGCCAGACTAGATTCAGGTGGGGGAGTGAAAATTGGTGAAAGAAAGACCAGTAATTTAAGATATGCAGATGGCACCATCTTACTGGCAGAAAGCAGCAATTACTTGAAATAACTTTTGGTGCAAAGGGAAGAAGAAGAAGGTGCCAAGTAGGACTGCAGCTGAACTTTAAGACAAAAATCATGATTATAGAAGAACTACACTACTTTAATGTCAACAATGAAGAAATTTAAATAATGAAATATTTTCTATAACCTTGGTTCAATCATCAGTTCAAATGGAGGCCAGTCAAGAAATCAGAAGAAGACTGATATTCAGAAGGGCAGCAATAAAGGACTTAGAAAAGATCATTAAGTGTAGTAAGAATGTGTCACTGTAGACCAAGGCCAAGATTTTCTGTGCTCTTGTATTCCTAATCAACATGTATGGGTGTGAAAACTGGGCAGTAAAGAAAGTTAATAGGGAAAAAAATTAATTCATTTGAAACATAGTGCTGGTCCTAGATCAAATCAATCCTGAACTTTCTCTGGAGACAAAAATGATAAATCTGCGACTGTCCTATTTGAGCACATCATGGGAAAAGATTCTCTGGGAAAGACAATAATGCTTGGAAAGGTTAAAGGCAGCAGAAAAAGAGGAAGACAAAACATGAGATGGATTGAGTCCCTCAACAAACCACAAGTTTGAGTTTACAAAAGCAGAGCATGGCTGTTCAAGACAGAATATTACGAAGATAATTCATTTATGGGGTCACCATAAACTGGATGTGACTTGATGGCATGTAACAACATATCCCCAAGGAATCTAATTGGAAGTCTTGTTGTATTTCTTGGATGTTTTGTTGCAGTTTTTTTTCTGGAACAAATGCCAAGATGCACAAGATTATTACATTTCCTGCACAGAATTGCACTTTTCCTGAACAGGATTCATTGGAAATGGCATTGCACTGCACAGAGTTCGGCCATGTCCTGCACAGAATGATGGGTGGTGGTGCAGGGAGGTAAAAGAGAAAACAAGATCAGGGTTTCATTTTTGCAGGAAACTGGGAAATCTTGTTAATGCAGGGGGAGGTCTAAGAGGGAATATGTGGAAGGGAGAGACTTGGAAGATCACCAAGAATAAGAAAGTGGACAAAGTACTCCGCACATCCCTAACTACATACTGTAACTTAGAAACAAATTCGGTATGGAAGGGTCTGTACCTGAGTGATAGCAGTGCATGCTTTTTCTGGCATCCACAGTTGAGATGAACCAATAGCAGGTGACTGGATCACCCCCCCCACCCCAGCCAAGGATTCTAGGAAGCAGTGGTTAATCGATGTAGGCAGTGAACATGCAAATACTTCTGGATCCTAGCCAACCTCACCAAAGGAGAGGGATAATGGAAGTTGGAGCCCAGCAATGCCAGGAAGGTCATTCATTTCCCATTCCAGTTGCAGGCAATATCAGGCTAAATGGGCAAATAGTTGGATCTGATATAATGCATACCTTAATAGCTTTACACAAAAGGCATAAAAATGTTTTTTTTCATGTTTCAGCCGAAATTCTCCCTTTAGTTTCATTAACACTATTATTCAAGTTATGAAAATTTCCATCCTACCCATGTGTAAGTACACTTTGAAAGCAATTGTGTCAAAACACAATTAAAATCTGTAACTGCTTTTCCCCAGCAAGCACATCAGAATGTAGCATATGCAACCTAAATGGTTCTCTCATAGCCCAGCACCCCCCAGATATGTACAGTTTATTTTATGCTCCACACAGATGGTAGCTTGAAAAGCAAAATATGTCTCATATTTCCTTTTGTTTTTAAAGGTTCTAGTGTTCACATCTTCTAAACTAAGCTTTTCTCCCTTTCCTAGTGCCTTGCAGTTCCTGTTAGAAGAGCCTCTAAGAATTCAAAGGGAAAAGAACCAGCCTCATTGCGTTCTTTGCTTTTAAGGGTCCAGAGCTGCTGTAGAGAACAAACTTTCAGATGGAGCTTTGAAGAAGTACAAAGGGAAGGAAGTAATTATCATTAACTAGATTAAAAGCAGACCACGTGCCCAATAACTGATGCTCTAACCTCTCCAAGAGGACTTTCGTGCCAGATTGCAGTCTTAATACTACTTCTCCCATAAAAAGGACATGTAAGGCATTAACAAGAACGAGCCAAGTTTGTTTACATAGCAAATAAACACCAGAGGCACCTGGACATGGCCAATACTGAACAACGTGAGTAGAACTGTGTGGTTCTTTTTTTTTTCTGGACTAATCAGACTCTTCTGAGATTGCAACATGACCAAAGAAACACAGCACACACCAAGTACCAAGGAGAAGACAAATGTCTCTTCTGAAGGTTACTAACAAAACAGAACCTCGGCTCTGATATCACCGTCTCTTTTCTCCTTTGATGTCTTTGCTAAGGATAGTTAAAATATTGAAAGGGAGACGCTCCACAGTAAACATAAATAAAAATGGCACCACGACTGTAGAAATATCTTCTTCTCATTATGTTCCAAAGGTGGCATAAAATAAAACGGGCATATATTTTCAAAACACGGTTGTCTCCACCAGAGTAATTGAACTGAGCAATGAAGCAAATATATGTGATCAGCGCAGGCTAAAAGCAAAGCGCTTGCAGCTTTTGAGGTTTCACTGTATAATTTCTGTTTTGTTGGCTTCTGAAATGTTCTCTTTCCCTAAACATTCTGGGAAGGTTCCACAACCAGTCCATTTATTACTAAATTTCTGCCTTGTTGGCTAAAGGTGAAAACCAGTTGAAGGAGGAACCGTTTATACCAAGACACTTCTTCATGGTAAATATGCACAGTTGTGGATGAACAAATGGCAGCAAAAGAGAGGATCAAGTAACCCTCTCCTTCTGCTCCTCAACCAACCAAATGGAGCATCTGAGAAGAGTTATGGGGAAGTGCCCTCCCTAAAAAGCCAGGTTTTATTCATCTCCCCACACATGCAGCTCTCCCAGAGAGACTTTTTAAAAATATTACACACACCAATCCAGTGAGCATCACAATTACAAATCAAGCATTCTCCCCCTAACCTGGAAAGCCCAGACAAAAGCTCTACCAAAGCACCACTTAGGTCTCAGACCATATAATTCACTTGGCCATTTTAGCCTCTTAGCTACACTGTATAGCTTGTCTTTCATAAAGATCATCTATACTTCTTTCTTTTCTTTTTTTTAGAATTAAAAAAAGTGTTAAAATTGAAAATATACAAAGTTACTAGTTTAAAAGCAGAACAGACTATGACTTCATTTTTTTTTCCAGTGGGGATTAAAATAACTCTGTGTCTTTCTATCACAGATAAACTCCACAGTTCTAAGATGATGCTCAAGAATGCTAACAAAAGGACAGCCAAAAAGCAGTAAGGCAGGAAAGTTAAACTGGGTGTGCAAAAGTACCATTTGCAATGTGGAGACACAACATCCTTGTATCTTTAGGCTGAAGGGCCTGAATGCATTGCTAGTGATAAATGATGAGATTGGGTATTGAACGGTCTTTTAAAATGGTTAGGGACTGTATTAAATGTTTTGGTCTTTTTTTTTTACTCTATTCGGCATCATTTTGGGATCTCTGATCTCTGGTTGGCAGAAAAGTAAAACACAAATATTTTGAAACCAATTCCTAAGTGATACCCCAATAAGGGTTTGCTGCTGCTCACTTTGGTATTTCAAACGTCATTCTATTTCACATTCCTCTGCTAAAATTTCAAATAAAGCAAAGGACTGTAACACTGATCCATGGGATGCCTTTAGTCCCCTAGGAATTTCAGACAGTTCTGAAGATTGTGAGCAAATAAAACTGCAAATCCCATATAGAAACGAGATCATTTTGCTGGTTCTTCTGCAGCCCATTGCTTCAGTGAAGAAGCTTCCTCATAGCACCACTGGTTTTTTTGACAAGTACTATAGAGGAGATCAAACACTTATAACACTGTAAGCATCTCTATAGTGAGAAAAGCTTTGTTAAGTATTGTTTACCTAGAACTTTCAGTCTCTTTGCTCCAACTACTACTTCATTGTCATCTGCAGAAAACAACAATTCTCCATTAAGGGTTCGCACTTGAAATTTTTGGCTGTATGCTTCCACTGCTTTAGGACCTAAAAAGAAGAGAGAAAATTACTAGTCTTCTTGACTAACATTCGCTAAAAATTATAAACAACATACCTTAATTACCTGTTATCTATATCAGCTTTTCCACATACAGTAATTTTATCAGACTGAATATGCTTGCTAAAGAGATAAAACAGAAATTCTGGACTAAATCCTTCACATTTGCTCCCATCAGACCAAATCCTGAGATTGATCTGTATTGTGCTAAAGGAGCACAGCACATTTCCAAATATTAAAATCCATAATTTTTTTTTAATGCAGGTCTTCTTCTTCTTCTTCTTCTTTTTCTTCTTCTTCTTTTGGTAGGATAATAGGCTGGGAAAGTTGCTCAGAGAAGCAGGTATAAAACTGTGATAGTTATCTCAACAAAGAATGTGGTGGAGGTAACTTATGTTACTCAGAATACCCAGAATAATTAAATTCAATTTACTTCAATGACTTTTAAATCACATTGACTTCAATGAGACAGAAATCTGACCAGTGCTCCAATTTGGCTTGGAAAGTATATATATACAGTGAGTTATGGGAATGTTTCTTAGCGCCTACCTAAATCTTCTGGATCTCGAATATGCAATCAGCAGTAAAATTTCCCTCCTATTCTATTTACAACAGAAAGTGTATATGGAAAAACGTGATGCCTGACAAATGGGTATATGTGTATGAGACCAATTGTATGGCATGGTTTACTGGTGGTTGAAATGCAGTGTCTTTGTATACATCATAAAAGGAATAACCAAAACGGATGGAGTTTGAGCTTACTCTTAAGTGGTTTTTTTTTTTAAAAAAACTACTTATTGAATTATTTGTTCCCTAACCAGCCTATGTAGGCTTAGGTAAGATGCACAGCCCCTAGAAGAAGACAAACGTAAACCATTTCTGAGTACTCTATACCTAGAAAAAATGCTGTAAATTGGAATCAATATGATGGCTCACAATTATTATGTATTATTTAGCTTTATATCACATAGAGAGAGTATCTGTCACAGAAGGAAGTTGTAAATAACTAGATGATCCCCCTCCCTGTTCTTCTCTTTCTTTCCTTTGACAAAACTGTATACAAGCTATTGGAGACCATTTCAGAATTAAAATTCTGCATTCTTTGGCAGAAATTTTGCAGTGCAGATTTTAACAAGAGTGCAGTAGTATTTTAAATCACAAGAGCAACTCTTACAAGTTGCCGTAGCTTGTCTTCGGCACAAGGCAGCACTTCAACAAGCCTTTTGGAATGTAACTCCTCTCCTTGACCAGACTATGGGCCACCTCTTCATTATGATTTGGACCAAACTCCATCTCCATCCTTAGATGCAAGGTCCCTTCCATGTATCGGATGGTATTGATATACAATCCCAGAGCATTCCCAAACCATTTCTGAGCACTTTATACCTAGAAAATCTTAGAAGAGTGATGAAAGGTTGGAACTGACTTGAAGGAACACTGATAAATATGCATATAATTTTGGCTAGAAAAGAGGATTCCTAGTTCTCCTCATAGTTTATGAGAATTATACTATTATAGAAAGGTATCTGAGGCCACAGAGATGAGATTTTACTCAAAGCAGACTCTTTAAAAATTGTAAAAATTGAAAGCCTTCGAGAATACATGTAAAAATTTTGTAGCAGATGTTTCTTGTGGGTTTTCCAGGCTGTTTGGCCGTGGTCTTAGTTTTTTCTTCCTAATGTTTTGCCAGTCTCTGTGGCCGGCATCTTCAGAGGATAGGAGTCAGAAGTCTGTCTGCGCTCTGTTGCAGTTTGTTAGATAGTTGAGTATTTATAGCTATGGGATTAGCTTTTGTCCTTTTCAGGAGATTGGGTGATTATGTTGATCAGCATGTTCTTTGTTGTGCCTCTATTCTGATAAGGGAGAGAGATTATCTGTCACTGTGATTGATGGGTGTCATTAGCTGGTCTTTGCACACAAAGGACTAGATAATGACACCCATCAATCACACTGAGAAATCATCTCTCCACCTTATCACAACAATACACCACAACAAAAAACACTCTGTTCACCATAATCACCCAATCTCCTGAAAAGGACAAAAGCTGATCCCACAGGTATAAATACTCAACTATCCAACATACTGCACCAGAGCACAGACAGAGGTCTGACTCCTGTCCTTTGAAGATACCAGCCACAGAGACTGGCAAAACGTTAGGAAGAAAAACCTTAAGAACATGGCCAAACAGCCCGGAAAACTCACAACAACCATTGGATCCCAGCCATGAAAGCCTTCGAGAATACATTTGTAGCAGATCATAGCAAATACTATTGTCGTGGTTCCAGTATTTACTGAAGAAAGAAAGAACTCTGGATCATGTTGAAAGATGTAGAACAAAAACCTACTACCTTTCCACATTCACATATAACTTTTCATATGCTTATTTAACCAGGGACAAAATCTTGTTTGAGCAGTTCTTTTAGTCTAGTGCTAAATGCCCTTTCTGGAGTAGATACACTTAACCCGATGCACACCTCATGTTAACCTCCATCTCTAAGCAGTATGGCACCTATTAATCTTTTTGCCTCCTAAGGTTAGGATTTTGATTGAAAGTAGTGATGTAGATCTGCACCTTGTATACAAGGACTGGCAAGAAGAAGAGTGACAATTAGTGGCTATTTTCATTTCTTTTCATTTCACCTAGTGGCTATTTTCATTTCTTATAACCCACGCTCCTACCAAATTAGCATTGTGCTTGGGCATTGTCAGAAATCAATTAATGTCTTACTGAATTAACAGTACAGTACATCAGAAATTTGAATTGTGGTTACGCCCAGATATTCGCACTGCTAGGAAAGCAGCCAAGCAACACAAGAACCAAGATTCTCATCTCCTTTCTTGGAAGCTACTTAAACATATGGCGATAAGTGGAAGAAGGGGGAGAATCCAGCAAAAGCAAATAAATTGAAGAACTGAGAGGAAGTAAAATGTATTGATGGTTGTTGTGGGTTTTTCGGGCTCTTTTGTATTGACCTTGGAGGTGAATAGTTAAATGGGATGGTGCGACTATGCTTACTAGGACCGGAAAACCTAAACTGGCCTTAGTTGTAAATGTGAGAGGTTTTTTATGAAGGGAGTGTGACTGGAAAAACCCACAACAACATAGTAGCAGGGAGAACAGGACGGTAACATAAGTCTTCTTCTTGCCAATGACAATGGTGAGCAATTTCTTGATACTCTTGATAAAATTATTATATTGGAAAGGATAAGGTTTTGCACACACGAAAATGCTGATTTTCTGCAAAAAAGGGCCAACTTTCACACAAAATGTCCCAAATTTCACACAAAATGTCCCAAATTCTGCAGTTTATATAATTGTATGAATTGCATTAATTGCCCAAAATCAGGTTGGCTATATATCTTCTAAACAACAGTTCCAAATTAAAAATTAGCATGTAGCAGGACACATGTTCTTTTCAGGAAGAAACTGTAGGTGTTTGGGTGGGATCAAAATTTGCTCTGTACTGTAAGAAAAAAGCTAGCAAAACGAGTTCACTGGGAGGAAAGAAAGAATTGTTCTAAAGGCAAAAGTACTGGTCCAAACTGTTTGAGTTTTATTTACAACCTCACATGATGTCTAGTTTGAGTGACTGTGAGGGACTTTTCTGGGTTGGAGTGACTGTCTATCTACCCAGCACTAACCAATCATTCCTCCCAGCTTTAGAAATTCAAAGAAAGATCCATCCCTCTGATGAGTGTTCTGTCCCTCTCTTTTGTCATTTGGTAGCAGCTGGCTGTTGCTTTTGATCTGTTCATTTGGTTGCTAGTATGCATACAGTAAAGAAAGCTGTATATATGTCTGTAGTTTCAAACAATTATAAAGAAAGAAGCATTTTTCCTTTGTTCTACAAATGTCTCCGAGTGAGTAAATGAGATTTTAAATGCCAGTTAATAATAAAGGGGTAGACTCTGGGGAACTTTGCAGCTATTCTACTCTGTGGATCTTTTCACTTCTACTGTGTAGTTAAAAACATAATTTACCAGAAATTTAAAACTCTGCAACACAAACTACTCCAAATCTGTCACATTCCAAGCCAATTTCTGTCTACTGTGATTCTGCCAAATATGGTCCCAGTTCAAGAACATGTTTGAAAGTTATAACATTTTATTTGGGTTGCCCCTTCCTGTCACGAATGGCCTATAGAATGTTGTATTAGTTGTAATTCCTCTAACTCTTCAGAATCAGGAAGCCAGCTGGAGAAACTGTTGGGAGCAAGGAGGCGCTAATGATGTGTTAAAGGAGGAGAGCAAGATTACAACAAAGCTGGATGGATTCTCTGAAATCTGTCTTCACTGCAGAGAGCCTGGAATGCCTTTTAAACAAAGGGAGTGTGAGGAACTGCGATGAACTGCGGGGGAAGGAGATTATTTTCCATGGCTCACTGACAAATTAAAAAAGAACAAATCATTAGATCTGGGTAATGACCATCCTAAAAAGACTCAGACATGACAGTGTCAGTCCTACAACAAAGGCATGCAATTTGTCCATAAGATCAACTCCTGTATCAGGAATTGGAATTGGAAACATGGAAGGAAACAGTGATTTTTAAAAATACTTATAGGGAGTGATCTAGGAGCCATGTAGAATCAGTGAAATAGGGAAATAGTTCCTGCATTTTCTACACAGAAAGTATGATCTCTGAAATAACACCGTGTGGATGACCTTTGAGCAGAGATCACAGGATTTCAGATTTTTTTTTTTAAAGGTAGTAAGGAGGAAATGACAGTTGCATACAATTATACACAGTGTCGAGAAAGTAGTGAGGGAGAAATTTTCTCTTCTCTTTCATAACCATGCAATCTTGGGTCCATGCAATGAAGCTGATTTGTGGAAGACAGCTAAAGGCCATCCAGTTATTCATACATAGCTGAATGGTCTTAAAAAGGGAATAAAAAGCATTCAGAGGATGAGGCTATATATGATGTCTACCATCAAGCAGGCACAATATGCCTTGTGAGGGCTGTTGCTAAAGCAGATAAGAGACTCTTGCACTCATATCCTGTTAGTGGGCTTCCTCTATGCACCTGAATAGCCTGTGTCGGGTCAGGAAGCTGGACTTGAGAGATCTCTGGCTCCTCTTACATTTTTAGGATGCAATAGAAGGAATTATATTCAAATCTTCCTACTGGTATCTTGGCTTCCCGACTACAGAAGTTTAACATATGGTACCATCCATCATGTCATCCTCTGTGCAAATTTGCAGCCCAACAGCTCAAACAGAGGGGTTTTCATAGCTTGGCACAAGAAGCAGATGTGCAGGAATCTGCTTCAAAACATCCCACACAGATATACACCTTGCTGAAATTCTGTTAAGCCATTCAGCATCTGAGGAGAGACTCCTCAATCCACAGAGGCTCCTCATGCAAGCCAAAACATGGGGAAGTCAACTTTCTGGCTTGAGTAAAGAGTTTCAGATATTGCAGAGTCTCGGCTCTTCAGGTCTGTCACTTTCTATGACCAAAGTGATGGTGGAGGGGCTGAGGCTGATGCCTTCTTCATCTTTGTGCATTTAACCTGCCTGGATACTGAATGACTATATAAATCTTGAGATGAGCTCTTATAATAATTACTTGCAACAGCTGACAAGTTGTAGTGTCTGAGTCATTTGCAAATAGCTCAAGAACACAGTGTGTCCACAGCTTCAGACAGTCCAAAGGCAAAGGCCAGGGACAGGAAACAATTAAGGAATTCACGGGCAAGTGCTAAATATGACATTATTGCTAGTATTTATTACAGATAGCAGAAGGCACAGTTTTTCATTCAGTTTTTGACCAACATAATTTCTCAAAGGCAATAAGAGATTATCATCAAATGATAATCTTTTTGTTATATTTTTGTTATATTTCACTTTTTGCTACTTGAAACCTTTTAATTTGCATGAAAATTAAAAACTGAAGTTTCAAAAACAAGATTCACCCCCTCCACCATGTCGGTCACTATGTGCACTAAGCTGCCAATTGCTAATACCACCTAGGGAGGTAACTGAGTTCATAGCACTTTCTTTATTTAACACAGTTACAATTTTTCTTACAGTATTTTCATTGGCAAGTTAGCAGTCAATGCACAGATAGTTTCCTACAAAACATCAATTTGCGCACAAGACCTCCCATGAAAGACAAGGGGTCCTTTTGTGGCTGGGGACCTCTGTTTCCAAGGGGAGTTTACTAGGAGGAATTGTGGATTCTTGAAAAGCTGACCTTTTGTCTTTCTCTAAAGCCCTGTTCTGACATTAATGAACCTGGTATTCTAAACATGGTTTTTATAGAAATGTACAGCCCTGTCGAATCTATTGTCTTTTTTGATGCCAAGTGTGAAAAGGAATGGTTCCTGCTTGTGTGGAGAACACACGTACGAACAGAATTCTCTCCTCTTCAGACTCTCCACTGAAAGCATGAAGGGCCGAGGTAAGCACAGTACATTCAGAAGACCAGTTCAGTGGCACATGAGAAAGGGAAACTTCTGCTTTCAGCCCATCTGACATAGTAGGCATCCTTCAGTCTTGAGACACTATGGTATCGTGCTCTGAACAGAGATCTTGGAACAGCATCTAGTGTGGCTGAAAAGGCCAATTCGAGAGTGAAAATCCCTTCCACACTGAAGACAAATACAATCTGTCCCCAATCCAGCTCCCTGATTTTGCTGCTTTTGGGACTGCCTCTTTGCCTTAGCCTATTGAACAAGGGTCTCTTCAAGTGTCTCTGACATGTTGCAGAGAATAATTCCTCAAAAGCTGTGTGGTCCACACTTGGATTAACACCATACATTCATTACAACACTTGGTTACATGTAACTTGTAACATCTGGGCAACAATATTGTACCTAAGTTACACTTCAACAGTAACATGAATACCCACAAAATTACTTTTTAAATGCAAATATCTAAATTGAATTAACACTCTAGTGGCTTTCAAGGACATTTTTACAGCATTTTACGGGCATGTGAAAAGAAATTATTCATGTTTTCTACCATTATTTTATCAGTTCTGAGTGGCAAGGAAAGTACTCCTTCCTTCCTTTTACATTTTTGTATTTTCGAAGTATACCATTGGAACTAGAGAGTACTCCTCAGTATTTTTTTCTGGCTCCTGATAACAAGAATGCAAGTGTCAATAGTGCAAAACACAATGGGCTTTTTTTCACATGCAGCAAGAGTACCAGTGAGCTTACTGCCCCAAAGCAACAATTAGCACAAGAAAGTACCTTCAAAAACCCATGTTTCACACTTTGGCTTATAAAGAATACTCTTGTATGGGACTATGAAATACACTGGAGCCCATGTTCAAGTGAATCTGGCCCGCACCTCAATATGTTAAGGTGAAGTGCAGCTATTTCCATATTATGACATCTCAGGAAAGTGCCACTATCTCCAGCTACTTGGGCTGACATATAACATTTCAGCTCAAGAAGATCTATGGGCTGAGCCATGTCAGACAGAACTTCAGTGATGTGAATCGAGAGTTCGGCATGAAGGTCTTTCTTAGCATCATCCTATAGAATGGACTCTACTGATGTTCAGCTGAGGCAAGCTTTACTTTAGCTGTCATCATTGGGGATATATATGAAAGCATCCTCAAGAAAATCTTTTTATTTCAAAAAGAATTCAAGCACTCTATGCTTTAGCCCATATTATACAAACAAGCTGCCTACTATATTGAAATGATCACAGCATTTTGCACTATGAAACAACTGGGACTTTTAGACTTGCAAAATACTTATTGATTTCCTCTAACCTCTGCTTTCTCCTACTTCCATATCATCTTATGCCCAACTCCCAATTTTGAATAGTTTCAGCTATCTCCCTTAAAGCAAAAATAAAACCAATGAAAAACACAGATTTCCAATCACACCCAGCAACTGCAGTTGACATTTCCCTTTTTTAACCAATCACATACAGACATTTTGGGAAGTATGACATGATGAGAAAGAGAACACGCATATGTAATTGCTTAAGCTTTCAGAGTAGATAAGTAGTTTGAACTTGGAGTTATCATTGCTGTCTCTATAGTTGTGGGTGGGCTACTTGCTGTTATAATAAAGACATACTGGAGAACTTATACTGCAGTTGGGAAAAAAAGTCTTATGTTCTCTTTGATGTGACCTTATTTATTTAATAATGAAAAAATATGAGCCATCATCATGTCAATTCTTCCTGGCAACCTTCCCAGGTTTTCTAGATAGAAAGTACTCAGAAGAGGCTCACCTGCCCCTCTTTTTTTGGAGGTACTCCGGTACTGCACAGCTTGCCTAAGGCTACACAGTTGGCAGGACACATAGCCCTATCAGTCCCAACTGATGGGTTACCTTGGTTCATCGCTTTCCCAGGAATCATGGAGAGGATTTCAACCTCCACCCCCCACTTCTGCAGCCAGATGCTTGAAAATGTCGAAACAGCAGCAGAATATACCTTTCGGTTTGGTATATTCTATGGCACCGTGATAACCCCTACCAATCTAGCATCAGAACACCTGGGTGGGAGAGTTCTACAATTATTAAATTCAAAGGTAAGAGTTGTATCTCTTGGAATCAGACAAGCTGCACAGTTCCTCCAGTCTTTGTGCCTGCACTAGTGCTACTGTGGCTACTGCTACTAAATTTGATTCTGCATCCTAGCCATTTCAGGGCTCTACAGTTGAGGGGTGTTTTTGCCTGTAACTGGCCAATAATCTACTAGCAAAACAAGCATCTTTTGAGTCTATACAGGACTGAATTCACGGTTGAATTTATTTCCTCTCCTCCTGGCAATTTTTACCCAAGCAACTAAAAATAATTGCTGACAGAAACGGTTTATTTAATTGTCTGAGGAGATTGACTGTAGGTCAGGTGTTATATAAGCTAGCCAGGCAATGTAATTTCACACAAAGCTGATGTTTATTAGTTGCCCTTGCTACCTTCACGTAGCGCTGCTTCTTTTCCTTCACCAGGAAGAAGCCTTGTTCTGTGCAGGCCCTCATGTGGCAAGTGTGGGCTGTGTGTTCAAAGGCAACATGACTGTTGTGGGGTGGTTCCCAAAAGCATTCACTTCCCTGTCAAACACGAAGTGAACATGAGCAGGTCTTATTAGCACAAGAGTGTGTGTGTGTGGTTTCTGTTTTTAAAGGTTGCAGTTTTGGGGCTGTGTGTGGTGTGTGGTTTTTTTAAATCACGGAAAGACCACATATTTTGTGCTGTGAATATTGATCAGTAAAATGCCTGTTGTCTCAGACAAGTTTAAAATATCCAGGGATATTCCTGTGCCTGTTACAAATGAACCACCAGATGCTGATCCTCTTCCTGCACTTTGTGCTTGTCCGAGTGACCTTTTGTCTCAGGCGTGGCTTTCAAATGAAAAACAATTTCTCTCCTGTTTTAACATCCTTGTCTTTCATTCTGAAGGGGCTGAGCTGGGCTGCGGCTTGTATTGTACTCGGTAAGTTGGTGATGGTTATCTCATGGGCAAATGATCATACCCTCCCCACCGTCGTGCCCCTTTTATCTTCTTTACCCCTTCCTCGAGAATTTCCTTCACCTTACCTGTTACAAGACGTGTAAGAACTTTACTCTCCTCATTGAGAATGTTCACTGTAACATTCCGAGCAGATTGGAAGTACAGAGGATTGCCCTACAATAAGAGCACAAAAGAAAAGGAATGAGACGGGCACATTGTCCCCCGCAAGAAAGTGTACTGTGCTCTTGCAAACCCTGCCGGACATGAGAAACCCACATCTATGTGGTCAACTGACTCTGTGGCTTCTTTTTTGCCAATAAATAACATGTTAGAAAGTCATCTAAAGCAGTGCTTCCCAATCTTGGGTCTCCAGTTGTCCTTGGACTACAAACCCAGAAATTCTGGCCAGCACAGATAGTGGGGAATGCTTCTTGGAGTTTTAGTCTAAGAATATCTGGGGACCCAAGGTTGGGAGCCACCAGCCTAAAGGGCCCTGTATGTGTAATATAGCCAGGTTTGTATATCATGTATACCAAACAGTCATATTAGCTTGCCTTCAGAGGTAAATTATTTATTTTTAGCAATTGTAAATAGCCATATTGGAGACAACAGGTAGGTGGGCAAAGTGATCTAAGCAGACAGGTGGGGTAATAAACATACCAAATGGAATGCCTGAGTTGTACCATTGACTATCTGTTGTGATTTGATACCATCCCCCACTCACTTCATACCAATTTTCCCTATACCCATGGTATCTAGTGGTATCACCCTTTTATAGGGTTGTTATTTTTGTTTAAAATAGGCAACTCTTAACTAGCAAAAACACTAGTAGTTGTGGTTGCAAAGAATTGCCTAAGGATTCCATGAAGATTAAGAAGAGAGAGAGAAAGGGGAAAGCACAGTGTTTCATAGCCCTTCCTCAAATATTGAAAACAGATACAAAAATTAAGCTTGCATTTGAACATGCAGAGCCACTTTCATTCTGATCTTTCAAATCTTTCACATTTCTAAGGAGTATACTGCACTGCTGTACAATTTTGAATTTTTTTCACCCTACCTCATCTTTACAGGAGCATGGCCAATACCCAAATGTGAAACACAGCATTGTGGCCTAAGAATGCACCAAACATAATTCTGATAGCTCACTGCTCAACCACGTAAATTAAATCCAAAAACTTGCATTATTCATCACAAATAATACTTCTTTAGAACTTTCAGTATTTTAAAAAAATGTCTGGGGTCAAATAAATGCATCTCATTTCATTTACTACTAGCATACATTTCTTGCCTTACAATTTTTCTTTAAATGGAGGATTTGTGGCACAATGATGTGAGCTAGAGAAACACCCTAAGCCACTATTCCACAATTACAGTCTTCAATCGGGTCTCCATGTTCAAATAAAGGCTCTGAAGGGGGACAGCATCCAGTTCTGAGGTTATGTGCACAGCACATTGATCACTAGCATCATGACATCAACTTCTTGAGCTGCCTTATTCTGAGCCAAAACATTGGTCCACATAGCTCAGCATTGTCTATTCTTACTGGCAGCATCTTTATGGGATCTGAGGTGTTTTTGGGAAGATCCAGCTTTGTGATCTTACAGCTTTTTAATTTTATTTCTTTGCTCTATTTATATTAAACCTTTCCTCAAATGAAATGAAGGCAACAAACGTAACTCTCTGCCTCCCCTTTTTAACCTCACAGCTAGCTTGTGAGGTATTGTCAAGTGGACAGATGCATCCAGACTGAGGTGACTCAATGAGCTTTGTGACTGGCCACAATGTGAACCCACGTCCAGTATTCCAACTGCTACAGCACACTGGCTTCTAAGTGCAGATGCCAGAAAATTTAACCTATACCAGTGGTTCTGAACCTTGGGTAATCCAGGTGTTCTTGGACTGCAACTCTGAGAAACCCCAGGCAGCACATCTGGTGGTGATGGTTCCTAGGAATTGCAGTTGAAGAATACCCAAGGTTGGGAACCACTGACCTAGACAATCATGCATTCTACCAAGCTCTTGCTCCTTGATTACTGATACCGAATCTAGGATTCCCTTAAACTGTAATCAAGATTACCAAGGCTAACAAAAGGAAAAATATTTTTGATGATGATATTTTCATATAACAAAGTGGACTGTATGATACAGTACACACACAAAGAGAGACAAACACTGAGGCCTTTGTTTACAGTACAGTACTTTTGTTCAAGCTGCACTTGCATTCTAAATGTGTCTGATAGTTTTCTTCAAAATATGCTCACACATCAGAATAAAGTTGAACTGTACTGTACTTGTTGTGTTATTCTGTCTGCACACAATACTATCATCTGTTTTTCAAAAGAGATGAAAGAAAGTTCAGACCCTGGACACCCTATTTAATCTTCCCTTGAGCAACCTGACCTGATGTCATGCCACCAGTTTAATTTATTTCAAGCTACACAACTGAGCAGAAAATAATGCTGCTTTAAGTTCACTGGGTAGATACATTTGCCATTTGCATTTCTCATCTGATGTGAGTTTTCCAAAGGGATAACCATGTTAGTGGGTCTGCTACTGCAGAAGAAACAACAGAGATCTTGGCACAAAAAGACGTAATAAGTTTTACCAAGGCCCAGGCTTCCAGAGTGCAGCCCAGGCCTTCAAATGTATAGAGTATAATAGTCAGTTATTTACAGTATGTACACACAGAGAGGAGGAGAGCACAAAGTGTGAAATGTTCAAAAATTTAGGGTGACATGATATGAAGGTACAGATGCAGTTTGAGAAGCTAAACAGCAGAGATGATAACACTGCTGTCCTCCAAAATAACACCTGATTTACTCCAGATCATGTATTCATACCACCAGCCATCTATGACCTTTAAGGTGCCAGAGAAGCATTTCAGGCCCAAAGCACACAGATTACAAAGCAACACTACTCTACCAATATTCCTGGGAGATTGCCTTATATGGGATATGTGCAAGCAAGCACAAAATGCCTTGAAATGACATCCAAGCCATTCATGTGTTGAGAATACTTTGCATCTGAGGCACAGCTATAGCCTCCTTTTTCTGCCTTCCACACATTGAGTTGCCAACCTAGTTTTATATTTGCTATGATATTTTGAGGAGAAAGGCTGGCATCCCTGGCAAGGCTGGTTCGGAAGATTGGTGTTATGGCCTTGATTTGGATGTAGGTGTGGATGTAGGATTCCAAATACAAAACAATGTCCAGCAACAGCTTTCCCTGGGGCGCCACAGCACAGAGTCTGGCATAAGAATCAGGATGAAGCATTGGCCCTAAGGAGCTAATGGGGAAAAGAACAGAACCAGCTGGTTGAAAGAGTGCAGGATTTGGGACAGTCTGAAGCGTTTCAGACAGTAGTCATTCCTATCTCACATACTAATTCAGCTTGAATCAACACCTACATATAGCAGGAAGAGCAAACAAGCAATTTCAACTTCAAATAATGGAACCGGAACCAACCTCAGCTGCCGATTTAGGTCTATCATGGGTCATTTATTTCAGGTTACAAGCACAAAGTAAAGGCTAAGCAGCAGAATGTCAGTTGAAAACTCTGAAACGCTTTTCCCTTCCCCGAAGGAAACCTTGCTTTAGGTACAATGACCTTTGATATTATTTTTTTCTACAAAAAATGTTTCTATATTTTTAAAGGACAGATTTCTTTTGAGAAACTACACTATTCTATAACCTCGGCAATCACTGAAGCTTTTTGACAGTACCCCTTGTCTAATTAGGTGAGCCGCTCTGGAAAGGTCAGAAGACTTTCAGCGTCCATTACTCCCTGCCATGGCAGGGTGGGAGGTAGGCTGCCATCTATTTTACTAATTTGCATAAAAGAAAGTCATGCCCTTAAAAAATAACATCAGAGAAGTGGAGGGCCTGCCCAGAGAGAGGAGCTACAATACTTTTTAAAGCATCTGTAATTGCTGTCTGCTTTTCATTTAGAGTACCTACCCAGACTTTCACTTCTTTTGGTTTTCAAAGCACTAAATTTACCTGATGGAAGAGTAATTGTTGCATTCCTCTGATAGGAGAAAAACTGTCAAGTACTTAGATGACTGCCCACTTAATTTCCCATAACTCATTCCATTAAAGGCTAAAAAAAATCTAATGAGCAGATTTTGTCGTGTTTCCTGTGAAGCTGCGTAATTAATATCCAGGGTGTCTTATTCTAAAGCAGGAATGCTATTATTTTCTGGGCCAAACACCCACTTGTAATGCATTTGCACTGAGAAGTGTTTCGTCCTCCAGGCCATAAAGAGTAGATACCTCCAGCTAGTCAGCTCATGACTTAGGTGCATGCATATGGTGGCTGTACAAACTAGGGCCTCTAGTGGGGAGACAGAGAATTTACATGGTTGGGTTGCCTCATCCCTGATACCATGATCAGACTCATTCAAGTTCCTGCATACCTCATGCCCACTTGGAAGTATGGGCCCATGCACTCATGAAGGATCACAGAAGGCTCCAGAAGTGTTGCTAACCAAGATATGGTCACACCAATTAATCATCCCAGTTTGTTTATATCCTCTCCCTCTAATATTTGCTGGTGCCTTACTATTTGCTTCAATGGAGCAAAGATATCACTCTGTATACTGTTGTTGACACATCATTATCACCTACAAAAAACTTCAGCACTTCTTTTTAACGCCTTAGCAACATCTGACTGTTTGCAAACACTCCATGGATTCTCACCAATTCTTCCTCCTACACACAGCAAAATATCTCATGGACAGCTATGCACCAGAATAGCAGTACAGTATAAGACAGCTGCAGTTCATTTGCAAAATGGAAAGATACAGCTTTGTTGAAATTCAGTTGAAAACTAAGAGTGAAGAGCTGAAAATGCATTATTCTGAAGACTTAAAACGCACTGGTCCCATCCAGAATAGTGACGGCATTCTCCACGACCACCCCAGTTAGATACATTTTTTTCCTTATTCATTTTTGCAAAGATTTCCTATGGAAAACATAATGATCCCAGGAAAAATAGAACCACAAATACTGTCTTGAGCTCACAGGGATACAAATGGGATATAAATGTGGCTTAAAAAAACTGTCAGGAGTTTTTACAACTTCTCATGCTGCCTTTAGCTGATTTGGCTGGGAGGGACCTTTGTGGGTTGGGATGTCTATCAAGCTATCCAGCAGCAATCAACAGTTCCTTTCCT